AAGCCTTAATCCTCGAACTCAACAGAAGAATACATCCAAACTCACAAAATATACATGTTTTCCCCTATAAAATAAAGTCACATTTTCAACCAATTGCTTATGTCTCGTTCCTTAGAAAGGAAGGTAAATCTCGCCCGACAGCACATACTTAACATTTGGCCTCTATCTGATTCACTCAGTGTATCAAAGTACCACCTCAACCATATTTGATTAGTTTCATCCGACGTTATGTAACTATTTAAAAATATCCAGCTAACAATATATGAGCTACCAGTAAGAATAAAATGGTTATAAATACATAGTACTATTCAATACCAAGAAGTATTTAACATCTCTTTATTCCCGTCAAGTTGAATAGATCTCAACAACAAGCATCTATTACTTTATTGATTAATTACCACGTAACTTGAAAATATTTTGTAAATTTGTGATAAAATAAAATATTCATCCACTGTTAACAACAAACTACTGCCTTATTTCCAATTTACTCAACTCACTCAACAAATTTTCACTGAAATTTTGACCAGTTCATCTAATTTTAATTCACGAATGATCACAATTTGTGATCTTAAACGTTTGAAACCCAGTTTAAATTCAGAGATACGATCTAATACAGAGCACAATACTGAGACGGAAATCTTGATGGATTTCAGTCTTTCTGTAATCAGCATTAGTTTGTAATGAATGTTCTTGTCAAACTTTCTTTCTTGAACAAATCACCTCTATATATAAGTATCACGAATATTTTAAACTATTAAGTTTAATAAAATTCGGTTCATTAACAATGAGGATGATACTGAATTAGAAAAAACCTAGATTGATAGTCAGTTATATGAATTTCTTTTAAACCGTGTTAAATAATAATTAATGTATTTTTTGTTATATCTCAGTCATTAGAAAAATTGTGTTTATGTCGTTTCGTGACTTAATGTAAGCCACTTCTTCAGAGTAAACCAATAAACGGAATGAAATCAACGCAAGTTTCAATAGTACAAATGAAACAATGCAAAGTATTTTTAGCACAATCAAAATCATAATAAGCCTGAATAGGTCAATGTCATATAATTTTTGATCAAGTTCAATTTGTATAGCCTGTCACTGTATTAATCTAAGTGTCAGAATATGGGTATGAAAAATGTATGCATTTGTGATATAAAGTAGTGGGTGTGTGTATAAAAATAATAAATAAGGTGAAATGTGGTTCTATAACCCTTACTCGAAATTTATGATAAGTTTCAATATTTACAAGAATACTTTTGTCATAATCAAATTAAATTTGTACATAAGAATTGATAAACTAATACACAAACCAGAATTTGTTTTAAAAAAAGCCTCAACTGACTCATGATCTCAACCATTGAAATTACTATAATATCCACAAAACCCATCTGATATTAAAAATATATGTTAAGCAATTTACATGTGTTTACTGATAGGTCTTGATCTTGCCATTGAAATCCTGAAATAATTTCGAAATGAATCCTGTTGATATTTTTAAAAAAAATTTCTAATCTTCATTTTTAATCAATAATTGAATAGGAAATTTCGATGAGTTCTTTCTTAAGCAATCAACTCCCAGTGATTTCAATTTCTTTCTAACGTGATCATTATTATTTTATCTACTTAATCTGTATGACACATTGTTGAATATAAAATTATTTTTATTATTTGTTTCTATTCAAATTAGATTGATGAACATGTTATTTGGGAATAAAACTGCTTGATGGACATAATTTAACAACAGATGTTTGGTAAAATTTGTCTATTGACGTTTAGAATACATGGTTGAATAATGTTATGGTTAAATGAAAACCATATATTAAAGAAGTTAAACGAACTATAGCAACCTCAAGTAATTATTTAAAATATGAAGATTATTGTATGATTATGAAGATAAAAATTACGGACTTAGTTGAACAACAATAATTTTGATTAAACGACAGTTACCACTTAAAACCAAGAAATACTAGACATCTATTTTGTCCTAGTTTGGAATTCCTCAACATTGTACACCTACGATCCTACTAGAAGAGATCGAACCCGGGGTTTTCGGTCTTACTGACAATTGGCCTCTCAATTTCTGACCTAGCATCCAGTTGTATATATATTTAGCTTCAATCATTTTGCTTGTGGTGGATAGCAATCACACTCTGGACATGGTAAAGTTTTACAGGCCACAGCTTTTCACTAGAACTTCTAGAATTGCACCCCGAAGTTAATAACCACTAAATACATGAAAAATTGCGGTTTGTGGAACTTTCTAAAATTGTATACCTAGGGGCTACTGAAAACGAGGAATTACTGAATAGCTATTTCATCCTAGTATATGTTTCTAAGGGATAATTCGTTTTTTATCGTTGATAACAATTTGTTAAAAATAATAAAAATCTAAACAATAATTTTTATTGTAAGCAAAGATGGATTGTGGCTGGCATTGGGATCCAAGACGCGCTTTTTGTTCTATTCGGGACTTGTTAGCTGGGTGCCTATTACAGACTGACCAATTGCAGTGTTAAACATCAATCAGAAAATTCAAACAAACAATACAAAATAGATTTATTAATTTTTATTATTAATGTTCCATGTTGTAAATACTAATAATTTTATCCATCATGTAATAATTTTCGGTATGAAAGTCAGTTCATAACTACGACGTAATTAATTATGATTTTGTTACTGATTCAGCACATTTTTTAGTGATCAATGTAAAACGTGTAATTTTGTTAGCATGAACTCAAAACTAATTTTTCATTGATTTATACTACAATGTCTAACGTATTTTTACAAACGTTATTCAAATCGTATTCTTGTTGTGTTTCGTAGAATGTTTATATACAAATCTCTATCAAGATGAATTGTTTTGATAGCATTTATCGCCAGAGGAGTCTGTGCCCATGTTCTATGGAAATTAGTTTGAAATAATTCTCAAGATCAATTATGCTGAAGTTCATATGTCTATAAAAGATCTTCAATAAAACTGTCTTGTTTGTCTTCATTTCTATTCTTACTACAATTAGATTGGTTATACTTTGCAAACACTAAAGTTTTCGAGTTGCGGACGTAACTCTGTGTCTAATATTCCCTAGATTCTATCTATCATTTCTAAAAATAAATGATACACCACATTGAAGTCACTCGAAATCAGAATAAAAATTCACAGCAAATAGAATAGAGCAATCTACTGAACGCTTGCATTTATATCTTTACATATCGACGTAAATTTATCAGTATTAAACATTATTTGTTCTCTCTTCATCTCTAAAAGTCTAAAATAGATTATTAGACTAGACTGTCTTTTATATTTTACGAGTTATTGATGTGAAGTCAAATTTCAACGAGAATCTAATCTATTCAAATCTATGTATATTTTATTTTATATTAGGAATATAGCGAGATAATTAATCTTGAACAAATCTATGCTCGTCCACGAGGGGTGATAGAAGTAAGTAAATCTAAAATTATTCATTCGAATATAAATAGATAGATATCACATTTTTTCGAATGAGGCTACAATGCTTCTCTCTTAATGGTTTTATTGAATTTACAATCTTTCAGTAACTATAAAAGGTAAAATAGCTTATAGGCAAGAACAATGAAATATTTCAAAACAAATGTATTCTCCCGACTTCAATATAAATTAAATGTAGTTCAACAGAAATCGTTAATATTTGTTGATATTTCTAAATTCATTTGAATTTCATATTTTAAAAGATTCTAAAAATTCAGATCACGATCTACTTATAGTTGAATATGGATGCTCAGTAGAAAAGTACAAATGTACTTGCCAAAGACATAAGCGTGAATCGATCTTGAATATAAAATTTGAAATTTAGATAAAACTGTCAGTTATATTGGAATGGAAAACGTACTTATTTATTACATATTCATACCAATCTTTGACAATTCGTTTAAGGCCTTAGTACCATTTGAAAATAAATAATTTTACTATCCACGTACAAAACAATAACACTGTATATGTTCTCTAAATTACATAGTTTGTCACAAATAAACGAATGTTTTGAATACTGAGCTTGCTTTATAAAACTGGAATATCTTAAACCTTACGAAAACTTATTGTAAGTGATTAACCAATCTCAAAAGCTAGATCATTTAGTGGAATAGTTAGACAGTCAAATTTACATTTATATGTAAATTGAGATTTTTATGCTAGTAGTCTTTATTAACTCCAGTTAACATGCAATGTAATTAATCATTTCCTAAGTAATTATTGTTGATTAGAATTCATAGGGATTTTAATGAAATTTCTACTATTCTCTTGGCGTATTTTTAAGATCAGTGAACTTTTATTAAAAGTTTGTACACTGTTAGGTTGAAGATATATGTGACTCTTCGAGTGTAAGCAAGAATACATATATAAAAATAGCTTTTACACAAATTCATTTCTAGTTGACGAATGTCAACGAAACTGATATACAATATTTGCACCTTAACTTCATGTAAACAGAATTTGTCTTCATGTAAGAGTAAACATACATTCTAACTAAAACATCATCACATTTTAAATGCAACTAGAAGCTATCCTGAATAAAACTTCTTTTTCAGAGATTTAAAAAGTTTGCTCTTCAGTATATTTCGCAGACTCATCCCATTTAAATTCAGTGTTTGGTAATAAAATGTTTTTTCAGAACAATGGAGGTACTTTCAACATGACGTTTTAGTTTCAGATTATTAGTAATGAACTTGCGTGGGAAACCATTCTCTAAAAGTGTTCGTCCAATTTTATTCAGCTTATTATCAATTGCATCTCTCGTGTATATTCGTTTGGTTCACGATGAAAAAGGATTTGTTAAATTTCTTTTTCTACTCAGTGACAGTCGACTCTAGAAATTCACATATCATATTAAAACTTCTGTTCATTAGAACTCAATGGTGAACGTAACAGTTTAAAACATTTACACTTACATGGAGACGTTTATCTAAATTATAGACAACTAATTGAGTTCAATTTAATGTCAAAGGTATGGACTTTTCTATTAGACGATGACTAAGTAAACCGTTTGTGAATAAATAACGCCACAGGTAATGATAACATCAAATTTTTTAAGAACATAGGATCCAAGGTTCATTATTTTTAAAAAAAAAAACGAAATAATTACATAAATCTGGCCTAAGTACACTGCTCTAACAATATCTGTAACAATATTAATTGTTTTAAGCATAGGTTTCGCCATCGAGGTCCAGAGTACTTTGTTTGGTTCCTTAATGCTGGGTTGTAAATCCGCACTTCTAAAGTGTTCTATACTAGGACAAAAATGCTATCCAGTACTTTCAGCTTTCCGATGATGTCCTCGCATTGGTCGATTCATGATTTCAGCATTAATAATTAAGTGTTCAGTTTGTGCAAATCTGAAGGATTATATTTCCTGGATCAATCACCTTATCTAATCACTTCTAGCTTTATACATTACAAACAAAAGTATGTGGGTTACTGAAAGCTCAACAATCTTCGTGTATTGTTATTCGTGTGATATAATTAAAAGTTACAACTTAAGATGATTAATGCATGATAATTCTATGAACTAAAAGAACAGGTTAACTCAAGTGATATTTATCCTGAAACCTCTTAACCGAGTGATTTTATAAGTTAACATATTTACAATGTAAAACAACGTACATTAATTTTTTAGAAGAAATACTTCAGTTTAGTGTTTAGTTTCAATTTCAACTTGTAAACAAACAAGGTCATTTTATTATTCAATAGGTCAAGTGTAACATAATGTATAGTTGTGAAAATACTCCTGATTTATCACACAAATAAGACAAGGTTCAAATGATTTGAATACAATTTTAGAAGAAATTAACACAAAGTGATCAACCATAATCTAGAGCATTTATGTATTGTTCACTCGATAATATCTAAGTGTGTAACAAAACAATATCAGTTATATTTTTATAGATTTTAAATATATCATTACGTAATAGTAGTTTTGGTATAGTCATTTAACCAAACTGAAGAACATTACAATCGCGTATGATTAACGGAGAAAAAGAAAAAAAATTCAATTGCAAACTTCTAACGATGGATAAATTTTATTTTTCGGAATGAACAATACAATATAATCATATTAAATTTTTGCGGTTTAAAATTGAGAAAAGGGAATATCTCGATTTCACAATTGATTGATCACTGGGTGGTGATCAATGTCATGTGTGTCAAGTCCTTATTATTATTGCAGTTCGAATGCTGTCGACCATGTTGCAATATGGCCACCAGTCAAGGTGACTCGACACTGCGTGCACTATATATTGAGATTAGATGGTGTTTGGAGGCAGTCGACAGGAAACCCTGGACTAGGGTTTCGTGCTACTTGGCACTCGTTATTATACTTTAAACAAGTTTCCATTTCTCCCGAAAAATGTTTGCAATTTGTCAAGTTTATTATAATCATTATACTACTTGATTTCATCTTAAACGCAATACTTTGAAACATTTACCTTTGAAAAAGCAATATAATGAAGAAAAAAACACTATCGTTAATATATTCAGTTTTCGAGTTAAAGAATGAAAGAAAAGACTTTTTCAACCAAACAGATATCAAAATCGAGATATTGAGATTAGATGGTGGTTGATGGTAGTCGATAGGAAACCCTGGACCCGGGTTTCGTGCTACTTGGCACTCGTCAGCAAAGTGTACCTGTAATCTTGAGGGAACTGGTGCTCCCTGGCGGATTCGATCCGGTGTCACCCAGACTGGTGGTCACATTGCAACACGGTCGATAGCATTCGATCTGAACTAATAATAAAGACTTGACACACATAGCATTGGTCACCACCCAGTGATTAACCAATTTTGATTACATCTCAGTCTTACACGAGGTCGGTCGCGGCCCGGATAGCTCAGGGGTAACGTCTTTGTCTGTGAAGTTGGGTGAATGTTTCGAAGTATTAAGTTTAAGATGAACTCAAGTAGTATAATGATTATGATAAACTTGACGAATTGCAAACATTTTTTGGGAGAAATGGAAACGTGTTTAAAGTAGAATGTTTTTAATCCATTAAGATAAGATTTGTATTGGTTTAAAATAATAAATGAAACTGATATTTACATTCATATTTACTGAAGAGAAAGAAGGCAGAGACTATCACAATGAATATTCGTTCGGCTTGCTTAAGGGGTCAATTTTAAGTATAAAGGTGATGCATATAATAATTAACAACTAAATTCGTATGTATTTGATGCAAATAAATTGTGATTAAATATATAACTCACAATGCTAAGGTTACTTGTTGTAAAGTCATTATGGAATATGATTCATTAGGGTCTACTAACAACTTTATGTGGTTTTATTGAAAAAATGTGATAATCCAACTTATGACTGAAACAAAAAGATTGAATAACAATAAAACATATTTGTTTTTGAAGCTGAATTATGGATTTAACCGAATATTTTAAGCACTACACTTGGTGTGAAAGTAAATCGCATGAGATCAATTTTTATCAAAAGGTATGAACCATTCTCTTCACCGTTTCTAATGTAGGACTTGAAAGTAAATACAGATAGCATGGACATACCTTTTATGAGTACACTTATAGTGGTAACTGTTACTGCTTAGTTCGTCTTATTGAGTTTAACTTTCATCATACCAGTTGTCAAACGTTTTTACTACCATCCATTATAATTGCCATAAATATTATTAAATATTTTCCAGTTGCATACTTAATTGGTAAGTTATCTATGGCACATCACATAGTTTCTTACATGACTGACATGAACAATTTCTACACTCATGAGAAGTGATTAACATTCATTTTATCAAATTACTGTTAGTAATAAAAAATAATCAACAAATAAAACCCTTATGTTGTCATTTTCAGTTATCAGGTATGATCTTAAGGACTACAGTTTGCAAAATAAAAGGTAATTTGCAAATCTCACTCATTTCTATTTGTTTATTACTATGATGTCTGTTTTAAATACCTCGTGTAGATTCATTCTTTTACACTTTTATGCATTAAGATGAAAATTTTGCACAAAAGAGTTTTAACAGTAGCCGAGTAGCGTAAAATCGATAGACACTTAACATCTATTTTATTCTAGCTCGTGTCTTTTACTGATATAAGATAACAACCCTTTGTTATAAATACCAAACGCATTGAACACTGAATGTTATTCCAATGGTCGACATTCCTTGTCTTCACTTTATTTGTAATCAATCACGAAAATCACTTTATATCATCAGTGAATTACTGTTCCACACCTTACATGATTGACTCAATAAATTGGAGTTTCGTAGTGGAATCTCTCAAAACCGATGTTGAAGTCTGTCACTTATAAGAAAATCATCATGATAAGGTCAATTGTTTGTAGTAATATGTTTAGTTTTGATAAGCTACCCAATACTCTTATTTTTAACAGGTTAACTAATGATACCTTATGTGAGGAAAACTCGTTTCATATATAAATCTAAGCGAACAATCTGATATTGAACTACCTTTTTTATGTATTACTTTCCTAAGATATTTGAAATTTACATGTTTTTATGTGTGCTTATATATATAATTAGCCGACTCTCAGTAGATTGATAATTTAATTCATACAAACCATGATATGCATGTCATGAAATAATAGAGCTCTTATTGAAAACAATAAACTGTATATTTAATTGTAGTTGATCTAAATGCTTTTTCTAACTGATAATTCTGTTTAGAATTCTAAGCATTTTTCTAAGTGACACCTTAAAGTAACAATCGGAAAACTTTCCCATCTATAAGTACTGTTGAAGAACAATATTTCCTTTTTCTCAGTCTCTCTTGTTTTTAACAATACATTGAATGTATTCTGACAAATATTAAGCTTGGAGAGCTTTAAATCTAGACAATACAAAAGATTATATTTTCTTATCTCTAAACAGATGTCAGTGTATAACTATAGCAATCAGATGATGTCAAATAACCTTCATTAGCTGTAATTCAATAATTTGTATGGTATAATGTCTAACTTGATCTTCACTTGTCATTAAAACATTGATGTTAATGCACTTGAATGAATATACAAATAAATACTAGCTACTGTTTCTAAAAGATTTGACGTTTACCAGCAAAAGCTGCAAGTTTTAGTATTAACATTAAGAGAACATCTAAAAGTTTGATATCACAATTATCTACTGCAAGTTATGATACATCGATTCCCTAAAATAATTCAAATCTTACTAATTAAACTATATACATTAATTCTAGTAGAATAACATTGTCCAACAATTTATTTTTTATATTGGTCTTACTTACTTACTTACTTACGCCTGTTACTCCTGGTGAAGGAGCATAGGCCGCTCACCAGCATTCTCCATCCAACCCTGTCCTTGGCAATCCTTTCCAGCTCCTTCCAGTTGTTATTCATCCTTTTCATATCTGCTTCTATGTAATGTGTTCTTTGGCCTTCCCCTTTTTCGCTTCCCTTCAGGATTCCAAGTTAGGGCTTGCCTCGTGATGCAGTTTGATGATTTGCGTAATGTATGTCCTATCCATTTCTATCGTCTTTTCCTAATTTCTTCTTCAGCTGGAAGCTGATTTGTTCTCTCCCACAAAAGGCTGTTGCTGATGGTATCCGGCCAATGGATGTTATATTGTTCTACTATACCTTAAATAGTTTATAAAAAAAGGGATATCATCATATTGATTTAACCTTTCTTTCCATAAATCCTCAATTATTTTTTTTGTCGTTGATAATTTATCCATTCACAAAAATTACAACTATTCAAATCGTATTATAAATGAATGTAAAACGGAAAAAAATAATACCTAGTGAAGAAGAAAATGATTTCTTTTTCCTTTTTCTTTAATTCTCTGTAAAGTGTATACATTTCTCTGGTCAAATGAAATTATTCATTTATTCGGTGTAAGACTTAAAACCGTTTGTCGTTAAGATGTGTGTCTGTATGTTTATATGGGTGTATTTTGGTTGACTTGATAAACTAGTGAAAGTATATATATATATCTTGACATAATTTTCTCATAAGTAATAGTTTAGTAATTAAAATGTCATTTTATTACCTTAAATTATAAGTAATCTTAAGGAGATGGAAAAGTCATTTAATTTATAGCATTATTGTTTACGGTATCCATATATGTGTTTATTTGTCAGAATGACCTAGAAAAATATTTCAGATGATTAGTTAATTTTTAAAAAAAGAAAAAATTTTTTTTTATTTTTCGGCTATTTACTAATAAATTAGTTTACTCCGAGTATATGTTCTATTGACAAGAAAAAAGAAAGAATTTTTTAATGATACAATGGTATGTGTAGAAAGAAAAACGTTTAGAGATTGTTTGATTGTCTAAACAATGATCAGTAATAAAATTATAGAATTTAGACAAATCGATCAGAACAATGTCGATCTGGGATAAAATAAATATACTGGAATTCATAAATTTATTATATGATGAATGAGAAATGCAGTTATAAGATCTTAACTAAAAGGAAAATAGCCATGGTTAAAGATAAGTGGTAGGATATTATGGACTATTAACAAAAAACACTTTAAAAATATAATTATTGTATTTTTATAATTTCAATGCATGTTAAAGCGATAT